ACCTACCAGGAAGGTCCATCGCCCCTCCTCTGTAGCAGATGCCTCTCGAGGGCCTGAACCCCTGAGCTGGCACCACATACTTGGTGTTTTCACACCCCAGCCCCCAGACCTCCCAGGCCAGAGCTGCCAGGGCCAGAAAGGTCACTTAGCCCCAGCTGACCAATCAGTCTGTCCTAGGACTGTGCGTTTGGGCCCATGAGATCGTTGCCTCTGGATCTCCTGAACTGAGAACGTGTAGACCTGGCGACCATGTGCACGTGGGAGCAGAGTGCAGGGGGGAGACTGGCATGAGACAGCGAGAAGCAAGCACAGGCCCAGACGAGGCAGGCGTCAGGTGCGGCGGGGGAGGCTCGACTGCCCCTGCTTTGGGCCCCGTTGGCCCCACCTTGGCCGAGGCTGGAGTGTGCGAATTTTGGTTCCTTGCAGCCCAAAGGCTGTGTGTGGGGTGGCCGGCCTGAGCCCTAGGCCTTGGTCCGTCTTCCTTCCCAAGCAGTGCTTGAGGCCCACGTCCATGATGTCAGAGGCCACTTCCTTGGTGACTCCAGCACTCAGGAGGGACTCAGTCCATTCGGTGGATGGTAACACAGACCCAGGCCCTGAAGAAAGACCTGGCGTCTCTGTCAGTCTCTGCTGTCCACTAAATGTCCCGCCAGCGTCCTCATCCCACTGGCCAGGCTGAGCCACTGGGGAGGGGAAGTGCGCACTGACAGATGAGTGGTGCTGGGTAACGACCGAGGTCCAGGCGGCGCGCCGAGTGCTTTGGTCCAGCACGGGGTCTTATGGAACCCTCTGGGCTGCGTTTCCCCTCCTTCCACTGTGGGAAAATCCCAAGAGGTCCCAGAGGGTGCAGACGAGGCAGGGCTGGAGGCGCTGACACTCTTCTGGGGACCCTCACAGCCCCCGTGAGATGCGTGCAGAGCTTAGACTCGCCCTGTTCCAGCTCTCTCCACCCGCACCTGGTGGGAACGGAGCTGGAGGCAGTGACAGCCCAGACTGTGAAGTCTGGCCCAGAAAGGCAAAGGTCACTTGGAAGGAGGGAAAGCTCTTTGATAGTGAAACCTGAACTGCCGGTTCCTCCCAAGGAGCCCTGTGCTTCCCGGCCCCCAAGCAGGTGAGCAGTTGGGACAGGACCGAAAGCCCCGGAGCTGCGGCCGCGTCTCCGCCACCCCGAACGCCAGCCGGCTGTGCGCCCCGCAGACACGGCCCAGCCCGAGATGAAAGAGCGCCTCGCATTCCTCGCCGGGGCCGCGCCGCACCGGCTCTCAGGGCAACTGGGTTTTCTCCTTCTAGGAGCACCCCTGAGGGCTGAGGCCGGAGAACAGCGTGCCCTGCACCCTCCCGAGTCCTCTGGCTTGTAGCCAGGTCATCTAAACTACATGGCAAAGCAGCCCTCCAGCTCTTTCTAGACGGCTGAAGGCTGCTGGGGCCGTGACCCTCTGCTCAGCGAGAGCCCTGGCGGCTGGAGAGGAAGCTTGAGGCTGGAACCCCGGGGAATCCTGTGAGGGACACTGACCTCTGGTGGCCTCAGACACAACAGCCAATGGGGAAAAGAGGTTAAAACAAATGTTTATTTAACAAATTATATTAGGAATACAGACAATCACACAGTGAAACTTCCCTTTGCCAAGTACAAGAGTCACCTTGAATAAATACGCAGTAACGTCCTTCCTAAGGTCCTTGCCTGAGGCCCGACAGGGTCGCATAGCAGCTCCCATGCTCTTTGCTGGGAGAACAAAGCCCTGTCGCAGTGGTGACAGCTGGCAGGGCAGGTGCCTGGCCGCCTCCGCTAGGCTCCAGGGCTAAGGCAGACAGCAAAGCGACTCAATGGGCTCAGTGCCCGCGTGGCGTGGAGGCACGTGGCTGCTTGGCAAGGCCCACCGGGTTCTCGGAGAAGAATGCCTAAATGGCATTCTAAATGGCAAAGGACAGGGCAGCCAGCAAGCCCATACATCTGGGAGAGCCCTGTCTGGGTGGAGGAGCCAGGCAGGCAGGCTCCTGGCCTGGGCTCAGTGCCCACTGCGTGATGGCGTGGTGGCCTGGTGACCAGCAGGGACCAGTGGCAGCCAGGAAGCCCATTAGGGGATGAGAAAGAAAAAGATCAGCCTGAGGCATGTGCTTATGAGTGGGCAGCTGGCCCTGCGGGCTTTGGGGCCCAGTCCTGCCTCTGCCACTCACCAGCCTGTGCCAGTGGACAAGTTTCAGCTTCTTCATCTGGAGTGAGGCGCAAAGAGCGTCCACTCTGGGTTTTGTGTTTTTGCTTTTAGGGGGAACGAAAGGAGACATGTGCTTAGAGTGCCTGGCCTAGCGCCCGGCAAGGAGTAGGTTAGTCTGTGTTAGTCCCTCCTGTCCTCCCACTGCTTTCTGAGTTATGAAGTGGTGACCACGCTCCTCCGACCAGTGCGCCAGGGCAGGGGAGGCTCTAACCTGTTATTTACCAAGACAGGGTTCATCTCTCCAAGTGGCAGAAGGTGTGGCTGGTGTGAGTTCTTGGACTCGGGGTGGGAAAAAGGCCTTATTATAAATTTGCAAGTGAACTTGGAGCAAATCGCTTGCTTCTTGTCACCTTTGTGCCATCACCAAGGCCTTTGAAAAGATACTTCGAATTTTCAGAGAAAGCGGGAGGCAGTAGGGGAACTGTGCTCTGGTTAGAGTCTTTTTGGGAGGATCAGAGGGTGATGGGCAGGGACAGCAGCAGCACTGAGAAGTGCTGGGAGGGGGGAGGGACCCAAGGGATGAGGTCGTGGCCCCTCACATTTCTAGGAGAGTCCTTGTCCCTCCCTTCCCACATCAGCCAGAGGGCTTTTGAGGAAAGCACTCTCCCAAAAGGACATACAAGGTCGCTCAATTCCTAGAGCTCTCCCCAGTCCTCCTGCAGCCTGCACAAGCCCACGGGGGCCGGGCACACATGCACACACGCATGTGCACACACACGCTTGCACATAGCTACTGTCACCTACACACTCATCCTCACCCACCTCTCAGAGGGTAAGAAACAGGATTAGGAGCAGCCTAAAATCTACTACAGACACCAACGTGTCCCTACCACTGATGCTGCTTCACTAGCTTAGGCTGCTGTCTGCTACAACACTCACGGTCAATGCTACTCTCAAGCCAAGTCCATGACACCACGGAGGAGACGGCTCCAGCTGGCCTGGGTCCACGCGGCTTGCCCTCTTCCTGGTGGCCCTGCGGCCCTGCCTTGTTCCTGTCTGTCCAGCGGTGCAGGAGGGCACATGGGCGCCTGGCCGGGGCCCCTGCTCCAGGGTGGCTTGTGAGAGGGTGTCAGTGGGGGGCTGTGGGCATCCCTTCCTTTCTCCAGCAGCCACCCTCACGGCTTGGCTCTGCCTTGTGACAAGGGACCCAGCATCACGGCCTTTGGACCTTTGAGGGCCCATCAGAGCTACTGAAATGCCTCCTTCTCCACCAACGGAGGGGAGAGAAGGGCCACCAGGCGTTACCTGTTGGGAGATAATGCCACAGCCAGGGCATGAAAAGAGGTGGAAGGACAAAGTGCACAAGCCCAAATGAAGTGACAGAAGGGTCAGAGCTCTGCCCTACCCTCCTGCTGTCCCCCAGCCTGTGAGGCTTCACTCCTCTCCACTGGGCTCTGAGTCACGCAGGCCACTTGGTTTTGGGCCAGCCACCGTCCAAAATGCAGCTACTGAGTAGACACAGGTTCTCTGGGTCCCCCTGCTCCCCAGAAGCACAGCTTATTTCAGTGGAGATGCCTGAGACCCATCGGTCAGTTCTCTCCTGGTGAGCGCCAGTCCTGCGACAGGTCCTCATAGGGCCCAGACAGGTTCCAGGAACAAACTGTCTTTTCCTGCCACTGTGCCACCAGGGAAGGCCACCCTCTACAGGGGCGTCCCCAGGTCTCAGGGAATGCGGGGAGAGGCGACCACTTCCCTAATACATAGAAGTCAAGAGGTATCCAAACAAAGAGGAAGGGGTGACCCAGGAGGCGGCACTGGTCCACAAAGGGGCCCATGGGGGCTGGAGATGCAGGGACATGAGGTATCTTGGCCCCGCCCGCCTCTTGGCCGGCTGCGTTGGCTGGCTCTTCCTCCGGATGCTTTGGTGCCTCAGTCGCCCTGCTGACCAGGGCCACCTCGGCACCTGCGGCAGGGCAGGGCCTGTGCCAGCTGAGGCAGGGGGTCTCCATGGCCACCCATACTCATCAGGCCCTCACATCCACAGGCCAAGCCTCTGGGGACCAAAAGTTATCAGATCCCCCACATTCTGTGGAATCAGGACAACCCCTAACAGCAGATACCACGAGGCAAGGCAGCCCATCGGGTGAGGGCCTGAGCCCCCAGGGACAGCAACCACCACTGTCCTCGGGGCAAAGGCGCTGGAGTTGAACCTGGCACCCGGCACTGGAAGAGATGGCAGCACCTCCAATAGACACTCGTGGAGAAATGTCAGTTCTGGCCCCAATTCAGTGACCTGGCTCAGAGGGATGTTTCAAAACATTTGCTCCTCTTAGCAGATATCAAGACATAGCCTGGCTCTGAGAGGGGTGCCCGTGTCCCTTTAGGGCTGGGCACTGTCTCAGAGCGTCGTTGTCTGTGGCCCTACAAGGATGCATCCCTGTGGTGAGGCAGTTGGAGCTGTCGTTGGCACATGGGTGTCCACAGAGGAGCCCTTGGGGCACAGGGAGTGCCGTGGATGAGCACAGCACCCTGGGCAGCAGAACCCACGTCCAAGCAGGGTCCCCGTCACTCAGCCTCTCCCAAGAAAGCCTCTCCTCTGTGCTGGTGGCTGGGGTGTGCTGCTCCCTGACCTCTGGATGTCCAGTGTGTGCACTGGGTGACGAGTCCATGGGATGTCCCCAGTGGGGCAGGGTCCACTCCTCCTTTGCGTTTTCTCATGGTTGCTGTGAAACACTTGGGGCACCTGGTCCTACCGGTATGAGGGACCTGCTGCTCGGCAGCCCCTCATTGGTGATCAGTGAGCCCTGGAGAGTCCTATGCAAAGCCACCCACCCTGGGGGTCTCCAGGAAGGACAGCCATGGCTTAGTGGGGTCTCCATGGCAGGCAACAATCAGGAGTGAAGGGAGCCTGTGGGTGTCACTGGACGGCTGGAGCAAGTACCCGGGGCCCGTGGGGATGCTCCGTGGTGGGTAAGAGTTTTTGCAGGACAACTGGTCATCACACAGACACGTTAGGAGCCGGTGGCCACTAGAGCACACACAGATTAGTTGCAGTTACGAACAACATCCCCAGGCAGGCTGGGGTGTCGTGTCAGGCAAGCCAATGACAGGACGCAACCCCTCAGCTGCCCACGGAGCCCCCGGATGGGCAGTGTGGGAGGAAGGGCTGGTGGACACAGTGGGAAGCAGGGCAGGAGGGACGGGACAAGGGAGGAGAGCGGCCCACACCCCAGCCGCCCCGCCAGTAGCCTGGGTGGGAGGCCTCTTCTCCCCGAGGGTGGCGCAGGTGGCTCTGGCTCCTCAGGACTGAGGGATCTGCTGACACCGGGTGGGGCTGGGCGGGAGCCTGGCGGCAGCACTCTGCTCTGTGCGGAAGCTGTACTCGTACTGCAGGAGGAGGAAAGGTGGGGACAAAGAGGCACGGTCAGTCCACAGGCACCACAGAAAACCCCTACATGCCTCAGACCAAGAGCAGGCAGAGGATGTACCTGCCAAGGGCTGGTGCCCGCTGGGTGGCTGTGCGTGGGCACACCGGCTGTGAGCCGTGTGGCGTGTGTGTGCAAGTGTAGACACACTGTAGGGTGACAGGCTCGTGTGGAACCGGTACTTCTCACAGTCCCGCCCGCTCCCTGCAGGGTGACACATGCACTGCAGTGCGCACAGCACTACACCGCGGGCCAGGTCAGATGCCCAGCACCCTCCCTGCTTCCAGAGACCATCACGCAGCTGTTAAGGGGCAGACATGTGACCCAACACCAAACCTGTCCCAAAGGCCAGCCTTAGCTGCCAGGCTTCGGGACCCCTGGCTTGCCGATGACAAATGCCATGTGGTTGACCCAGGGGCCCAGAGAACGGGTTTCCTGAGCCTCTGTCTGGCACAACCCCGCACCCTCCATGCACCTTCCTCACCGAGTTCCCGGAGCCACATGGCCAGACTGGGGGCCTGTCCTCTGCTGGGCCCTCACGCCTGACCTGAGCTTACCTCCCTCTGACCCGGACTCACAGAACGAGTTCTGAATCAGGGAAACTTAGAGAAGGGGTAAGTGCCTCTGACGGGGGCTGGGGGGCAACTGTGGTTCACCTGAAGGCCAGGTCGGATCTCAACACTCACATGCGGGCAGGGCGTGCGGGGCAGGGGAGTGGGTGCAGAAGGGCGCGGGCAAGGAGGCCCCACCCTGGCAGAGAGCGACCTGCAGCTGCCGGCCGGGCCGTGAGCGCTGCAGGCGCCGGGCTGTGAGGACCAGGGTGGGTTGTGGGAACAGCCTGGAACTCTACGCCAAGGCAGCCGTGTGGTCATAGGGGTTTTAGAAATGAGGAGCTTACGGGGCCGGCCCGGTGGCACACTGGATAGTGTGCCGCTTGGGAAGCGCGGTGGCGCTCCCGCCCGAGGGTTCGGATCCCACATACAGACCGGCTCCCGCTCACTGGCTGAGCGAGGCGTGGGAGCAACGCTGAGGGTTGCGATCCCGTTGCCGGTCCCCGGTCCGGTGCGGGGGTGACACTGAGGGTTGCGATCGTCCCCGGTCCGGTGCGGGGGCGACACTGAGGGTTGCGATCGTCCCCGGTCCGGTGCGGGGGCGACACTGAGGGTTGCGATCCGCCCCGGTCCGGTGCGGGGGCGACACTGAGGGTTGCGATCCGT